ATATTTTGCTGACCCTCCTGATATATTCCTTTTGTGTTGACTCTTTGACTTTTCCATTCAAGATGTTATCTGCTTCCAATATCCCTAGGTATTTGTAATCGTCATCTTTTGCTAATGCTTTTCCAATGCTTCTATTCCTTCTATTTTTTTTCCATTTTTCCTTGCTGCATGGATACTGTAGCACATTTTTCAAGACCAAAGTTCATTCTGATATTGCTACTGAACAGTTGAACTGTGTTGAGTATTGATTCAAGTTCCATGGGGCTTTTTGCATACAGTTTTAAGTCATCCATTTATATTAAATGATTTATCTTGCCATGTTGGCTTGAGATTTGGTAGCCCAGTTTTGTGTTTTGTAGGATTATTGTCAGTGGAATTAACACGAAGTTGAACAATAGTGGCAAAAGTGAGTTCCCTTGGAAGATTTCTCATTTGCCAATGTTCTCCCCATTTGCTGTTAGGACTGTTTTCCATTTTTGCATATTTGCTTTCATAAATGTACAAATATTTTTGCTGATTCCATAATTTTTCAGATAGGCGTTAATCCAGCTGTGGGATGTGTCAAATGCCTTCTTGTAATCTATCCATACTGTATTTAAATTTGTTCTTCGTTTTGCATTTTTTAGTACAATTTTGTCAAAGAGCAGCTGATCTTTTCTTCCTTTTGATTTTTTGTAATTTCCTTTTTGTTCTATTGGGTACAAACTGTTTTCCTTCAGATGATTGAATACTGAATCTGCACATACACTTGTAAAACGTTTGAATGTTGTTAACAGACAAGTAGTTGGGTGATAGTTGCTTGATTCTATGCCCTTTTCTGGATCTTTCATTATCAAGTATGTTTGGCCAGCTGTTAACCATTCTTCACTTGTTGCATTTTGAAACATTTCATCAAATTAAGTGGCCATGTGTTGGTGGAAGCTGGTTAGGTGTTTTAACCAGTATCCATGAGTTCATCCAGGCCAGGTGTGTTCCAGTTCTTGACCTTCTCTATTTGTTGTGCAACCATATAGGTTGTTATTACAATATTCTCCATTTTGTCTTATGTTGCTTGTTTTTGAGTAACTTTGATCCAGGAGGCAGTTTTATCATGTTCCACTGAGGCTTCCCATAGTTGTTTCCAAAAGTTCAAAGTTTTTTCTTTACATGGGTGAACAGTAGTATGGTCTCGACTTTCATCAAATGACTGGTGTTATTATTGTTGTTGTTGTTGTTATTATTATTCCATAAATATTTTAATACAGTGCATTGTCATAGCATTCCATTTACAAAAAAGCAAAGAAAGAACAAAAAGAAATATTAACACATGTACTAATAACAATAATAAAGTAACAGAATAGTTTTAATTGGATTTCTCTTCATATTAGCTTAATTATAACTGTGTTAATTATATTAACATATTTATAATTATAATACTATAATTATAATTTAATAATATTAATTTATATTTAATTCATACATAGCAATATTCTTTCATCAACCGTATCATTCGGAGTATAAGATGCATCTTTTTCCCTAAAAAAAAAGAGGGTAACGATCTGGGTCACCTTATACACTCAATACAGCACTTTTAGCCTTCCAAAAGATCCCTGATTCCCCACCACCGCCACTCCTCAGGAGCTTCCAGGATGAGACCCACCCCTTTCTCACCTGCCCCAATCCTAGCTCTTCCCTCTGGGCTTGGCTGAGGAGGAAGCCTTCAGCCAGAGCCAAAGCCTGGGAACAGCTCTTGGCTCCACATTCCCTCACCCAGCTGGCCATCTCCAGGGGCAGCAACTGCTCCAGTACCACGAGGTCCGGCATCTCCCCTTTGCTGCTCTTTTTCAGTGCAGGCAGCTGCAAAGCTCCTGGGGTCCCTCGGCCTCTTGGTCCTAGCGATCAAGATAGCAGAAGCGCCGGTGATGGATCTCTGGGCTGAGGGCGTCCTCCATCCCTGGAGATCTCTGGGCCTCCATTGTGTCTCCTACTCATGAACAGACAAAAGAAGCCTAAGAAAGTCCAAAATGTCTCCTAGCCCCTCCACATTCCCTTCTCTGCTTTCCAGTTGGGGAGGAATGGGTGTCGGAGCTTCTGCACCTGAGGACAGCAAGACAATCGTTCCTGCCAATTTCTTGCGCGGTTCTGGCCTCACGTGCCTCACCAAGGATTCCGAAGGATAGATATGTGCCTTCTAGAGGGAACCTAAGAGAAAGAAAACGAAAGGGGACCTTCCTCTTCCGGCCTGCAGGGATCCCTGTGCTGCTGCTCAATTAGAATGGTGAAAGGGGTGTGTGTCTCTCCCTCTCAAAATCATGTGTTCTAGGTTTGGTGTGTCTAGCTAGGATTTGAAGGCTGCAAATTGTAATGCTAGCACCCGCATACTAATGGCGATGATAGCATCCAGGTGGTACTTGCTGTGTCCCCAGTGTCCCAAGACACATAGTGACTTATACTATGACTACAAAGTCATTTTCACATCCCTATCCATGTTCCATAGAAATCTTTTTTCACTGATGGTAAAGAAGAGAAACAGAGCCTGTTCTGTCCCTATTCTGACACAGCCCTAGCAGAACCAAGAAACAGACTCCTTGTCCGGAAAAAACCCTCTTTATTTAGTTACTGTAAATTCATGGCATTCACACACATAGAAAATCCTTCCAAGGATTAGCTGAAGTACTGACCTTATCAGCTCCTTGGATAATTGCCAGGCCAGAAGCTGCCAGCCACAAAGCTGTAAATTAAACTCTCTTAGACAGACACGAATCCCGATAAACAAATCTTCAGAACAAAATACAAACAGTTGTCTCCTACTCCTCCTTTTGCTTCTATTTATTCCCCAGCCATGGAGGGGCCATTCAGCGTCCGTGTGTGCCTTTCTTCCTGAGTTAGCCCATAGTCAATTATTCTCCTTTCCTGACAGCTCTGCACATACACACATCTGGAACAGGTTCTAGCTATTCCTCTTCCCCCCTTATCTCCGACTCTGAAGGTAGTTGGGGAAAGTGGGAGACCCGTCTCTATCTCTGCTTCCAACGCAGAGCCTCCATCAGAGCCTTCCCCAGACTCCAGGAATGGCCTAGGTTCCTCCCCAACCTCCTCATCATCCAAGTCTGGGGGCAGTTCCACTGGCGGCTGGCCAGCCACAACAGTCCCAACTGCACCTTAGTCCGTGTGGCGCTCAACAGGCAGATAACTCACATATCCTTCAATAAAACAGACGGTGTGCATAGATCTGAAGGCTTTATTGGGTGAACAGGATATAGTGAAACTAGGGGAAATAGGAATACATATAGTGAAAATAAAATATAAGATACTGTTGTTTGCTGAACATAACAATTAATAAATATAAGCAGTATGAATTTCAACAGCAATGCTGTTTTCCTCAAGGAAAGGCATTATCCAATGATAGGTGAAGTAACTGTTCCACCATCAGCAATTTTCAAATTCCAGTGCTTATACTTGTTCTACTGTGTAGCTACATGGAAGGTAAATAAGATTCCAGTACAAAGATCTTTGCACATTTCATGAATTAATAAGCTTCCTGCAACATCTGGATCCTAGGATGATGATTAACTTGACTGTTGAGAATAAACCTCAATCCACAGGTTTCATTTATTTTTCCTGTATGGATCCTTTTGTGAGAAGAAAGCACACTCAGTGATGGTGGTTCTACTTCTCATGTACTTCCAATTTTCTCTTGTGCGGATGCCACTGTGACAATCAAAGGTGCTGTAGTCTTTACAGCTCTTTTCACACTTGGCCCTCAGCACTTTAGAAGAAAAAGACTGGAAAAGCCCAGTGGCTCCACAGCGTGCATCCTTTCATGAGAATTAAGTTTTTCTTTCTGAGTACAGGTCTTTCCACATTCCTTGCATTTATAAGGTTTTTCTCCACTGTGGATCCTTTCATGAAGACTAAGATATCTTTTCTGTGTATAAGTCTTTCCACATTCCCTGCATTTATATGGTGTCTCCCCAGTGTGGATCCTTTCATGAAAACTAAGTTGTACCTTCTGTGTGAAGGTCGTTCCACATTCCCTGCATTTATGTAGTTTCTCTCCGTGTGGATCCTTTCATGATGTTCAAGATGTTCTTTCTGTGTAAAAGTTTTTCCACATTCCATGCATTTATGTGGTCTCTCCCCAGTGTGGATCCTTTTGTGATGATTAAGATATACTTTCCGGGTAAAGGTATTTCCACATTTCAAGCATTTATATGGTTTCTCTCCAGTGTGGATTATTTTGTGACAATTAAGATGTCCCTTTTGTGTAAAGGTTGTTCCACATTCCATGCATTTATGTGGTCTTTCCCCACTATGGATCCTTTGGTGGAGAATAAGTGCACTCTTGCTAATGAACCTCTTTCCACACTCCATGCATAGTTTCATCTCTCTGCTCCGACTGGAATCCCTCCCCGATTTTATAAAGGTATGTGGTATGCTTTTGCTGTATAGTTCCTTTAGTGAAGAAAGAGAGAAACAAGGACTGATATATTTTTCATACATTTGCCCTTCAGTCTGGTTTATGTCACATTCAGGTAAATCAAATTGATTTTTCTCTTCTTTCCCATATTTTACCAT